CCACGCGCGCTCCATGGCGTGGGCCAGCTGGATGGCAAACATGCCGACAGCACTGCTGCCGCCCAGAATGAGCACCTTCTCGCCCTTCTGGAGCTTCGTGTGCTCCACCAGAGCTTGGTAGCTGGTGAGGCCAATGAGCGGGATGCTCGCAGCCTGGTCGAAGGTCAAGTTCTTGGGCTTCAGAGCCACTAGCTCCTCGTCAAAGATCGCGTAGTCCGCGACAGTGCCGCACGCAGTGAAGGGCGTCATGTGGAGTAGTTTCAGACTTGATCTATGCGGCGACAAGAATGCATCGTCGATTGCTCATAAAAAAATATCGAGTGCCGGATGCCTATTGATAGCTGTCAAGCCTCAGCCAGCAGCCTTCATTCTTCAAAAGTCTCACCCGAGCAAGCATCCAGTACCAAACAATAACGATGGCCGTGCTCCAGAGATCCCAAGAAGCAGTAATTGCTCAGGCTACTCCTATATCCAAACCCGTAGGTAAAATCTCAACTCTGTCAGCAACCTACACAGCCTACCAATACTCGAAGTATGGCGCACCTAAAACCGAGCTCACCCTCCGCAAGGACGCGCCGCTGATCCCGCTCGAGCCCAACCAGCTACGCATCAAGGTCCACAGCGCCGCACTCAACCCCGCTGACCAGAAAATCATGCAAGACTTCGGACTCGCCGTCACTGGCCGTCAGCCCTCCGCCGGCAAACCCTTCGGCATGGGCTTTGATGTCGCCGGCACCGTCGTCGAGACCGGCGCCAACGCACACCAGTTCAAGGTCGGCGATGCCGTCTTCGCCATGGCGCCCTACTCCAACTTCGGCACCTTCGCCGAGTTCGTCGCCATCGACGAGCAATTCGTCGCGCTCAAGCCCAGCAACGTCACGTTCGAGGAGGCCGCCAGCATCCCGTACGCCGCGCTCACGAGCTACCAGGCGCTGCACGAACACGCCAACCTGCAGGCGGGCGAGCGCGTGCTCATCCTCGGCGGATCCACGTCCACGGGCATGGCTGCCATCCAGTTGGCGCGCGCCATGGGGGCCCACGTGATCGCCACGGCCAGGGGCTGCCAGGACTTCCTGCTCGTGCAGTCGCTCGGCGCCGAGAAGGCCATCGACGCGTCCAAGCAGAGCTGGGTCGACGCCGTAAACGAGCACTCGGTCGACGTCGTGTACGACTGCGGCGTGGAGCGCAAGGCGTGGAACCGCGACGCCCAGACCGTGCTCAAGAAGGACTCGGGCCGCTTCGTGACCATCAACCCGATGCTGCAGCCGCGCGCAGCCAAGTTCGGCGCCAAGTGCATCGGCGAGATCATGGTGCACGCGAGTGGCGCGCAACTGAAGGAGCTGTCGGGTTTCGTGTCGTCGGGTGCGTTGAAGCCCGTGATCGACTCGGTCTACTCGTTCGACCAGCTGCTGCCGGCGCTGGAGAAGCTAGGATCGAAGAAAGTGTGTGGCAAGATCGTGCTAAGCATGGCACACTGAGCTTCGAAAGCCTAATGCATATTTACATAGCTAAAGTGTACAATGAATAATTGATTCCCTGCAAGGAGCTTTCGGATCGTAAAGAGATGGTAGATCAACGTACTAGCTTGCCTGAAACAATACTACATCCTTAGATGCAACTTAGATGCAACTTGTTTTTCATTACTCAGTGCCTTTTTCGGCGATCTTGGGAAGTGCGCCCAGTACATGCTTGGTTGGGCTCTTGCCTTACCCTTGACTCTCCGGGTTCACCTGGATCACCAGCTTGCCGCGCGCGTGCCTGCCTTTCAGCTTCGTCAATGCCGGCTGGAGCTTCTCAAACTCGTACACAGTGTCAATCACGGGGACAATGGAGCCCTTCTCCAAGTACTCCGTGATCTCATCCAGCCCCTTGGCCGTCGGGTACACCAGCAAGTTGCCGCAGTTCTTGGCTCCGAATTTCGCCGGCTGAACCGGCTCCGTGAGCGGCAGCAGACAACGCGTTCTGTTTGAGAATCAACTGAGCGTCCGTGTTCCAGGCGTCCGCCTCCATGCCGCAGTCGTAGATCACGTCCACCGAGTGGGTCTCCAGCTCTTCCGCCCACTTGCGTGTGGTAGTTGATGACGCGCTCAGCGCCGAGGCCCTTCACAAAGTTGGCGTTCTTGGCACTCGCAGTCGTGACCACGCGCGCTCCAATGGCGTGGGCCAGCTGGATGGCAAACATGCCGACAGCACTGCTGCCGCCCAGAATGAGCACCTTCTCGCCCTTCTGGAGCTTCGTGTGCTCCACCAGAGCTTGGTAGCTGGTGAGGCCAATGAGCGGGATGCTCGCAGCCTGGTCGAAGGTCAAGTTCTTGGGCTTCAGAGCCACTAGCTCCTCGTCAAAGATCGCGTAGTCCGCGACAGTGCCGCACGCAGTGAAGGGCGTCATGTGGAGTAGTTTCAGACTTGATCTATGCGGCGACAAGAATGCATCGTCGATTGCTCATAAAAAAATATCGAGTGCCGGATGCCTATTGATAGCTGTCAAGCCTCAGCCAGCAGCCTTCATTCTTCAAAAGTCTCACCCGAGCAAGCATCCAGTACCAAACAATAACGATGGCCGTGCTCCAGAGATCCCAAGA